ACAGTCCCAGCTCCACGGGGATGGTCCCAGCTCCTTGGGGACAGTCCCAGCTCCACAGGGATGGTCCCAGCTCCATTGGGACAGTCCCAGCTCCACGGGCAGGGTCCCAGCTCCCTGGGGACAATCCCAGCTCCAGGGGAAGGGTCCCAGCTCCTTGGGAACAGTCCCAGCTCCAGGGGAAGGGTCCCAGCTCCTTGGGGACAATCCCAGCTCCACAGGGATGGTCCCAGCTCCATTGGGACAGTCCCAGCTCCAGGGGGAGGGTCCCAGCTCCTTGGGGACAATCCCAGCTCCACGGGGGTGCTCCTCGTGGGCCGCGCTCAGGCCACCTCTCCTCCCCAGCACCCCTTCATGGAGCTGCGCGTGCTGGAGAACAACAAGCGCTCGCGGCGGAACCTGGGCCTCGACTGCGACGAGCACTCGACCGAGTCGCGCTGCTGCCGCTACCCGCTCACCGTCGACTTCGAGGCCTTCGGCTGGGACTGGATCATCGCGCCCAAGAGATACAAAGCCAACTACTGCTCGGGGCAGTGCGAGTACATGTTCATGCAGAAGTACCCGCACACGCACCTGGTGCAGCAGGCCAACCCGCGCGGCTCGGCGGGGCCCTGCTGCACGCCCACCAAGATGTCCCCCATCAACATGCTCTACTTCAACGACAAGCAGCAGATCATCTACGGCAAGATCCCGGGCATGGTGGTGGACCGCTGCGGATGCTCTTAGACGCCCCAGCTGGCGCTGCCCCTGCTCCCGACCCGATGGACTCGACTTTTTTTTTCCTCCACTGTTTTTATTTTATTATTATTATTATTATTATTTTTTACGTACGAAGAACCAGCGTTGGAAAAAAAAAAACAAAAATAGAAAAAAAAATCCTCTTGAATGTCGGGGGACGAGAGAGAGAAGGAAGCCCCCCCCTACCCCGGAGAATTGCTGCGCCCCGGCGCATCGTGCAATAGCCGCGGTGCCGAGGAGCCCCGCGGCGGGCGCCGGCGGCCCCGGGTCCCGACGCCAGCGGGGCCGTCCCGGCGGCTCCGGAGAGCAGCGGCGGCCGCCCCGGC